AATAGGAAGAGGTCAACACACGTCGCCCTCAGTCAATGAACTTCCCCCGACTTCCATCCTTTTGTGCTCTTTTTATTTTCATATTTTGAACTTTGTTTGAAATATTACAGAAAGAATTGTGTAACATTTTACACATAAATTCAGCAGAAATCAAGTATATCCTGTGTAAATGTCTCTCTGAGTCCTGACTGTCTACAATGAGTGAGAAGCGTGAGTCCCGCTGTCTGTGTTGTAGTCTGGCTGTGTTTACTTGAACGGGACGGCCTTGTGTATAAAGCTGTTTTAGTCAAGGACTCATTAAGAGGCTCATTAAAAGGCAGTGTGACTACCTTTCCTTCCAAAAAGTTTAAACTCTACCTGTTCATGTGTCTGGCTGTAGTCCTGACAGATTGGACAGTTAGCGAGCAGGGGAGAAAAAAAACAACAGGATATTCTTCATCAGTGGCCTCTTCTGACAGGCTCCGTCTATCTCGGTTCTCCCTCCGCTGTGACCTACTTCTCCTGCTCAAACAGATGTTCCCTCGACTCCACCATTTACTCACCTCCCTCTTAATTACTGCCGCTAATTAGCAGACACACACACACACACACACACGTCTCCTTATAGGAACACATGCAGACTATACGGTATTTGGATCCCTTGACAGGGAATGGGAAATTACTGGAATATATTAAACCCAGCGTGATGCATTTAAGAGGCAGGTTCAGCAATTTATGGAGCTGTATTTATGGAGGGTGTTTGGAAATGTGGGAATGAAGAAGATGGGTAATTAGAGGTAAATATTTCTCTTTATTCTCTGCAGCATCTGGACTTCTTTCTGCAGGATAAGATCAACAAAGAAAAATATAACTTTCAACATGATTTTGCATTACACTGGATCTCCGTCATGTCTCCCATCTTCCTCTTTTAAGAAGTGTCGCCACACACACACAAACACACACTCGAGCGCGCACACACACACATAGTTTCACTTTGATCCATTAGTCAACACCATATCCCAGGGTTCCATCTGTCCCTGTTTTGCTCTCATCCTCCTCGCCGTCCCTCAAAGTTGCCGGCTTATATTTAATGAAGGGAGTGTCAGTTGAATTATTCAGCTGTCATTTGTTGCTTTTATAAAGTAAATGGATGTCAGAGAGGCTTTTCTCTTTTACACCACGGCGCTCACGCTTCTCAGTTCTCTGCAGCATCGCTGCGGGAGCCGGGAGGTTTTCATGAGGATTTAGATATTCACTGTGTAAATATGTTACTGATGGAACAAAGAGGAGTGTGTTTCAGTGGAGGAGGGCTTTCAGATGGTGTGACACACACACAGCGGCTGCCTTATTAAAGTTACTTACTTCATACAACTGAATTATCTTTTGATTTAAAGGTAGCGTTGGTAATTTTGTAAAAAAAATGAAATTGTCTTTAGGTCCTGATAGGAATGAATAAGTCATGTGCTCTGAACAAGGACAGAGAAAATATGTCATCTGTAGCAATTGTAAGCCTGTAAGAACTTCGACCAATGTCTGCAACAAGGTACCAATCTGATGAACCAATCACACGCCTCCCTGTCTCCCTGCTCATTTTTACTCCATATATGCATGAGCCCACATTCAAAGCATGAGCTGAGGTCCACTTCTGGAGCAACGGTGCTCATGCACGTAAGTGAGGGGGCGTGGCTGTTGAGGGAGCACAGAGGGGAGGGGGTGGGTGCAGACGGAGCACTGAGGGAATTCCACTTTCAAAATCATGCTAGTTTTCGAAAATTACCAACCCTGTCTTTAATTGATTTCTCATCATGAACTGTCCATTGCGCTGCCTATTGGACGATGATTGCACCGAGGGCATTTTTTTTTATCATGTGTTTATATCATGCTGACCAGAGGGTATTCTTTGCATTCTCAGGACCTCTTTATGCTCTCTGTCCTAAACCCTCAAAGAGAAACTGGGAGAAAGAATAGTAAAAAAATGAAAATATCAGAGAAAATCCTGGACCTGGCTGACAGGCTAATATTCTGAAATCCATAAAGTGAAAACATCGGTTCATAAGACTGTTTGAGTCTTTCACTGCTTTTGTCCTTTTGCTGCTATCGTATGGACTAAAAAGAATGAACAGGAGTGGGATTGAGAGCGTCAGAAGACGATTTTAGGGCTGTCATTGTGGCCTCTTCTTGTACAATTGGTCGTATAATCATGCCGCAAACAACAACAACAAAAAATCTTTTGCACCCACTTCAGTCGCTTTCAATAGCTTCACAGGTAACGTGTCGACTTGTCTTTATTTCCTCAGATAGCTGAAGTTGCTTTTTCTACCGCCAGTTATTCAGATATAAAAGTGCACCATGATGCATTATGTTGTTGGTAATAACTCTTTCTGCAGTCGTGGGTTCAGCACTCATGATTATGTTTGTGAGGTACAGCTATACAGAAGCTGGACTGGTGCCAGACCAAATTGGATTATGTCTCCAATGTTCCCTCAAGTGTTTTATTATCCCTGAGCTGAAGGCATAATGTGATTACTCTGTGATGCCCTTTGTTCAGCGCACTATTATCCTGATGCTGTGTCCATGAGTTCATTAACGGCACATTATGACTTGTTATACACAGCAGTGCTGCAGAGGCCGAGCTCCAGCACTGTGACTCACTCATGATGCGTTCAGGCTCCTACTGAACGTGGGCTGGAAGTAATATTTCAATATAAACGAGAGCAATTGAATAATGGACCGTGGGAACAATATTATATAAGCGATATTAAGTGGGTTTAAGTGAAACAGTCATCGATCCCTCCCTCATTTTTTTTTACATTTTTAGCCAAGAGGAAAACTTTGAACCGCTATTCTGGACTGCCTACATGTGACAGGAGTCACCAAATGTTTGAGTGAAAACATCTGATAATGTGGCAAGAAGTTAGACCAAATGAATAATAACATGATGCTCTAGCTTTCACTACCAATCAGGTTTTGGGTGCTTCTTCATCAGTGGCTTGAGTTTGTTGAGTTTTCATGAAGATAGCTTAGTTATCTTCTTCTCTTTCTTACTCACTTTGAGACTTTACATTTCTGCCAGTCCTCCGAGGGAAAGAGCAAAGAGTTCTTCAGAGTAAATATAAAGCTGAGTCAACTCTTTTACTAAAGTGAAAAAGTACAGGCTCCGAAATGTACTCACAACGTGACGATAGAAGCTCTCCGTTGCTGTGGCACAAACGCATGTGCATGACGACTGCAGAAAGTCTTCATCGAACCTGTCTTATAATTCTTGGTCAGTCATTTAAATCCCTGCTCTGCTATAGGCATTGGCAAGGTAGGGCAATTTGTCTCCCAATTGCTTCGCCTGCCCCACCAAATCATATCGCTTCACCTCGTCAAGATGAATTTTTGCATTCAACAATATAAATTCTGACATTGCTGTGATTCGTGCATCAACACAAAAAGCAGCTTCTTATAATCTTCCAAAAACTGTTGAAGACATATTTCACTTCTGGATGCAGCCTGCTCTTCCTTGATGGCAAAATCCTGAACTGTGTGTGTATTTGCAGCCATCATGTAAACTATAGATTTAATCTTTTCATACGAACATCACTTCAAGTCATCTTTTATAATCTACTCAGGAAGACACTCTGTGTTTATAGTCCTGAAAAATAAATCCTGAGTCTGATCTTGCATGTTGTTACATGACTCTCTTGTCCCGTCAGTGGATCCTCATCCTCACAGCCTTCCTCTGCAGCTCCTCTCAGGAGATGTGTGGATTCATCTCCCGGTGAGGAGCGACAGGAGGCAGCAGATATGATCTGTGGAGGGCCACGTGGAGACCAGACGCCGCCTTCATTTTATCGCTTGAATAAAGATATACCTGCCGCGATGAAAGCTGATAAAAGCCACATTTTTCAGATTTCAGCATGTGAAGGTTGAGGCATCTCTCTGCTGGTCAACATTCTTCACAGATTTTTATCTTTGCGTAAATGAAAGTGCAAACACGCCCCTGAACTGTGCAGATAATAACCTTTTCATCACAAACCGTAAGTGCAAATCATTTCAGATAAAATTAATCTTCAACGAGGGCGCCCTGCAGCAGTTTAATAAAAAAGAGCATTTCATTATCTGATCTGAATTTGGAGAAGTCCCTCTGCTGAATGCTGCACGCTGCGGCGACAATAATGGCTGCCACTCTGAAAGGATAAACTCTGCGCGAAGCCTTTATGCCAATTTTGAAATTATCCTGAATAATGTGGCGGGGGGGGGGGCAGGCTGCTGTAAAGTGTGAGCGAGTTGGGTGCAATTTTGATGTGAATGGCTGTGACTGCAAATACATATTATGTAAATAGATGAATTTCCATCTGATTTCCATATGCATGGAGTGACAGGCAGAGAGAGGCTGTTTGTGACCAGCTTTCTACTCAGATTGTAAGATTTATAAACAGCACCACTTCCTGAAGTGGTCATTCACTACTTTCGCCTGCTCAGTGTCTTGGTGAATCAAGGTCAAGGATCGCATTTGTTTTTCAAATTATAAAGACATAGCTTAAGCTTGAAAGTTTCTTCTCTTCGGATACAGCTGCTTCACTTGGCTTTTAAGGAGGGTCCAGCTGCAGCCTTCAGACTGCACTCGTTTGCTTTTCTATTTTTTAGTCATGAAGGAAGTCAAAGCAGCTGCAGACTACAAACCATGTTCGTACAAAACGCCTCTGTAGCTGATAATTACAATGAACCATATCAGAAGTTTGGGGCCAGGCCAGCCAAACAATTACACCCATTAGGTCATTATATAAACAAGCACTGAAAGTAATGGATCAGAAATCCGTCCAAAAGCACCATCACCTCATTCTAAAGAAACACACTTAATTTTGACCATTTTGTCAGCGTGTAAACAACCTCGCTCCTGAGACAATCTGTCAACTAGTAAACAAACCAAACAGTGACATCAGTTTCCCTCTGGCATCCTCAATCTGTATCGTTCTCTGTTTTGTGTTTTTCGATGACACATTAATGGTCCTTTTCCTTTCTCTGTTTCCTGTCAGGTCATGAACGTGAATCTGTCCGAGGGAGACAAAGTGGTGTTTGAAGACGTGGGCCACCGGGAGAACACCATGCTGGCCAACGAGTCCATCCTCATGAGAGGGTTGGTGGTACGAAGCCACAGCAACCAGATCTCCATCCGCTTCCACAGCCCGAGGTCTCAGGCTGCGTCGGTGCTGCTAAGATACCAAGGTAATCTCAGTCCACCTACATACTGGTCAAATAGAACAGAGGCCCTAAGACAGCGGTATACTTGACCTTGCACAACTCAGGAGCCACATTGATGAAAGCCACCATCCAAAAACCTCTTGATCCCCCCCACCCAAAAAAATAATCCTGAAAACATTTTCCTGCTGTACCTTGCCCTTGTCATGTAAATAAATGTGTTGCAGTCTGCAGAAAACTATAAAATGTGACTGGATGCAGCAGCACATTATGGACTGTTATTCTTGGGATTAATGCATTTGACAAACATGCAATGCAACACAAACACATGAATCTTTTATTAGTGAGTATGGGTATTGAAAGAGGCTCATTAACTCAGTTATAACTTTCTGTTTGCAAAACCAGAGTTTGGAGTTTTAACAGTATAATGTATGAATTGAACTTGCAACATATTTACAGTCTGGATTCACATAATTAAAACTATTCATCATTTATAATTGGATTTTTTTTAATGAATAGCCTTATTGCAATATTAGAGTTATTTAATATTAATGCATTTAATAACTTTGCTGCTTAATCTTGAGCACAGCATCACTCACAGAGCAACCACAGTGAGCCTTAACGATATGATTTTTAAACAACCAAGGTGTGGAAACAATGAGGAGGAAGAGCAGAGGACTAATGTGAGAACACTCATAACATGTCCATCCATGGATACTGTCATGAATAGAGAAATGAGCTGCAGAGAGCAAAACACTTATTTTGTTCCAAAGTGTAAACATGTTTATTTCTGATGTAAAGTTGGACATTTTAACATGGCGGCATTTACTCACTTTGCCTTTAGTGGACACGGAAGGAACTGCAGTTTTTGAGATGGTTGGCTTTATTTTCAAACATGGAGGTCTGCATGTATTTCAAAGTAAGAGCACACAGCCTTTATGAAAACTAGATCCTGTATTAACAAATAACTATATGGTTAAAATCCAGTTTAGTATCACAGGATGTCACAGGCCTGAAAACGTTTGTGACATCATAATCCTTTGACAAAGCAGGAATTAATCAAATGTTTATTAAGGTCATATGAAAGATGACCTGTCCTGAATGGTCTGTATTTTTTTTGACCGGAGAAGGTTGGCGGTTGAAGGGCACACAGCTGTTATGGACGCCCCTCGGTTTACCAGGCAAACGGCAAACCAACAGGTGTTGCAGCGATGGAAGCAGCCAAGAGAAGTGGTTCAGATAGAAGTGATTGTACCCGACCTAAAAAGCCTCTGCATGTTTCTAATAAGCTCCACGAGCAGAAACGTGCTCAAACTAGGATCAATATTGGAGATGCTTTTGAAAAACGGAGAGAGGTTAGAACACAGAAAGGTTTACAGACCGATGCAGAGCTGGATAAACACTGAAGCTTCAGTTTCCACCACATGGTGACCTTCATGCACATCGACTCTAGAGAGGAGGGGGCAGATGGAGAGAGCCAGCTCTCTTCAATGTTTTTTTTAAATTGGACTTCAGGACCCATTTTAAACACTACGTGTCAGAGTTACATTTTGCTCCTTTAATGGTTCTGTGAAAAGAAGCCTGTCTGTATTCCTGGCGTGTGCAGGTGATGAAGAGTTGAGTGTGTGTTATCACTCGTTAACAAAATGTGTTGTTGCTGTCAGACAGAAAATGACTTGTGCTATCAATCACTCAGTTGATGAACTAATAAATTGTCTTTGTAACTGCTTTACTCACCAATTACTATACGGCAAGAGACAAAGACTGTTGAGAGACTTTATCCTGCGGCGTGATAATGACAGAGGAGTGAAAGTGAAAGCCATTTTCTGCAGCCGTTTGGATTCCTTCAGAGAGAAAACCCATGAAGGGTTTCTTTGTGTGAAAGTGTGGTGAGGAGACGGGGTCAGCTGTGGCGCCTGTTGGTCAGATTGCCTCTTCTAAAAGCTGTGCAGAGATTCTTCCTTAATGATCTCTGGTTTCTCTCCATTTCTCCTGCTTTCCATTGATATCTCTCCAAAGCCCAGATGGCTCCTGCAAACTTCTCCTCGGATAAAAAAAAAAGTAGCACCAACATCATTACCTGCTGCTTAAAAGCAATCTGTGCTGTGTCTGCTGGCTTCTGACCACCGCTGGCTAGAAGAGAAAAGGATTGGATAAAGCCTTGATAGCTGAGTCTTGAGTGTGTGTGAGTTTGTAAAATATGTAAAATTTGTTTTTTACTCGACCTTCGACAAACCCCTTTAAAAATGTTTTATAAACTATGCAACAAAAGGACCTTAATATTTGAAGTTTAAAACTGCAACAAAAGTAATGCTAAACTCTGTAGCAATTTAAAAATATATACTGTACATGTTAAACTGAATATTCCCAATAATCAGTTTCTCCAGGAAGTAGTTCATGCACTTTCTTTTATTATGCAGCTGCGCACAAGCCCAACATACGCACATGTACAGTATAGGAACATCAGTGTAGCTGTGGTAGGAGAGATGTCGGAGGGTTCATGTCCTGACGAAGAGAAAACACTACTGAGTGTCTTCTGATTATTTCAAATTAAGGATAAGAAGTTAGACCCTGAAATACCTTCTTCAAAATGTCGATGAATACGATTATTTACATTTCTCTTCATACTATTATGGTGCTACTGTTTAATTAGCACTTCATTATTGTTGGATGAAACGGTGAACTTTTATGTGATCTGTTTGAACAGACATGCGTAAAATAGCATCAAAATCTAGATTATTTTAAAGATGTTTTTTGGCCATTTTTGCCTTTATTGGATAGGACAGCTGAAGAGGAACAGGAAATGTTGGGAGGAGAGAGGGGGATGATAGGCAGCAAAGGGCAGAGGTTGGATTCGATCCCATGACCGCTGCCAGGAGGACTGCAGCCTACGTACATGCAGCACACGACATGACCACTAGGCCGTCTGGCGCCCCCAAAATAAAGATTTTTAATCAAGAAATATTGTGGGGGGAGAATCTCCCAGACTTCCCTTATGCCCTGAAATCCCCATGATGTCCTCATATCTTAGCTAGTTGTAGAAATCTAGATTAAAATATTTATATTTATATTCATAGCTAACTTGAAAAACATAGTGTCAGAGACTTTGCGCTCCCTGAACTACAAAGAAAAATTTTATGTGACACACATCAGAAAAAGAAAAGACAATGTGCTCAAATGTAGACAACTCTTTATAAAGAAAACTCTCTCCAGTAACTAACTCTCGGGTTTAAGACTGGCTCTCTGTGCAGTTGAGTTAAATAAATCCTCAACACTTGGGACTGAATCAGGTCACATCTTTAATAGAAAGAAAACACAGATAAATGTGTTGATGTGTTGTTCAAACAATCACAGGTAGATACAGAGTGTGTTTGTGCTCTTTGTCAGGGTTTTTGTCTCCGTGTTTGCAGGAGGAGATTGATTTTAAAAGAGAGAAAAAGCACTAAACAAGTCAATCCTCCCATCCTCGACACAAATACTCCCCCGTTCTCCCTCTCTCTCTCTCTCTCTCTCTCTCTCACACACACACGCACACACACACACACACACACACACACACACACACACACACACACACACACACACATATTGCTTTATTAAATTCTCCTCTCTCCTCTGAGACAATCTATTCTCTGCTCGTCGCTGCTAGCAGCTGGATCAGCAGGAAAACCTCATCCTATAGAAAACACACACAGGGACACAGACACACACACACACACAGACAACCCTGTTGTATTGATAGAGACATACAGAAGAGCAGCCTATAGATGCAGGCCCCTGAAAAAATGCAATAATAATTGACTGCTGTCGATGTTTTCAAGTCAGTGTTTTGGGAAAAAAAAACACCTAGTGAAATCCTCAGGGTAATTTATAACTGAAAGATTACCTTTATTTAATATGTTTCCTATTTGCCCCGATGCAAACTAAACAGGTTTTCAAAGATCTTTTGCACCTTCTTCAATCGTTTTTTCAAGATAGTATTACTTGATTTTGTGTTTGTTGTGCAATAGAATCATGGTGTCCGTATCTTTTTACTTATCAAAAAGCGTTTTGTGTGGATCTGGAGTAATGTGGATTATGTGCAATTTGTTGTGTTTTGTTGTTGTTTCCTGTTGCTATGTGCTTCTCTGTTTACTACTATTTACTACTGTGGAGGGGACAAAAAAGTATTATATGGCATCGCATCACATCATATCATATTTTTATTTTTAGTTATCCTTTATCATAGCAGGAGAACCCAGAACACTTTTCCAGAGTTTCCCTGCAGCAACAGAATAAAATATAGAACAAGTTAAAAACATGTAAAACACTAAAATAATTACAAATAAACACATAAACAATGATTCTTGCAATCCCATGCCCTTGTTAAAAAGTCACATTTTAAAACAGTTTCAATTACTTTCCATTATTAGTTCAGACACCGGCTCTTTAAGAACACTGTACGACACCAGCGAACACAGATCAGCCGTCATTTGAAAGTTATTCCACATCAAAGGTGCAGCCACACTAAAAGCACTCTGTCCCTATTCAGTCCCCTAACCGTTGGTATTTTTTAAGTGACCCAGGTTTGAGATCTGATGTAGGGATTCAGATGTTTGTAGACAGAAGAGAAGTCAGGTAAGGATGGAGTGGACCAATGAATGGCCTGTAAATAAACAGAATACTGTATTGCTTTCTATGTTGACCCAACGAGGGCCGGCCTACAGAGTGATACAGGTCACAATGGTGATAAAACTGTCAATGTCATCCCTTGACGGTTGCAGTTGCATGTGTATATAAAGTGTCTCCATAGATCCAAAACTGGTAACACTGTTACCTGCATGCACATTTGTTCTATTGCAACTCAAAACGAATATCAAAGCTCCTTTTAAATGTGGTGATGAAACAGACTGAGATATATCATGATTATTTTTTACGAGCTTCAGAAGAAAACTAGACCATCAGAAAGATGATTGACTTGAGCCATGTGTTTATTCAATGATGCATTTTGTCTGATGAGGAGACTGTAGACAGTAAAGCAGAAGTTC